GCAGCATCATTTTCGCATACGAAAAATTTTCTCGCTCCATTTTCGGTTTCTACGAAAAAAATCTTTCCAGATTATACATATATTAATATATTTTACCCGAGTAACGCGAGGACGTCTTATAATTAGACAAATTAGGTCGGTAAAACAATATATATATATTATAGATACAATTATGTGTATAGTAATGCTAATTGTAATTATACTGACAAACATGAACGCTTATTCTCATATAAAAAATTTTCATATGCGAAGGTGACGTTGTACGAATATTGCGTGCGTGCGTGCGTGCGTGTGTATGTGTGTGTATAAAATAAAATATATGTATAATATATATGTGTAAATATATGTATAAAATATATAATACAATATGTTAAATATAAGAGATATAAGAGAGTTTTACACATATATATACATACATATATTTAATGAAGAAAATATATATACATTGAATGCGTGTGTGTGTATGTATATACACACACACACGCGGGCGCGCGCAATGAAAATGCTTATAACGTTACGTTTTGCAGGAGGACATGGAGCAGGTGGCAAATTTACACCAGACTCTTCTTCGCTTTCCGACGAAGAGTAAATTTTTCTCGCTCTATGTTTTCGGTAATATTTTGCTTCCTTTTCCGTGTCCATATCTGACGTGTATAAAGCTTTCTCTGCCTTCGCATAAGCCTTCTGTAAGGACGCTGAAAATATTATAAACATTAAATATTATAAATAAGTAAAATATTTATAAAAGTCAGTAAAACCCTATACTTAAATATAGTACTTACAATATTCGCCAAAAATTCTTATAACTTCTAATGCGGGCCAATCAAACTTTGGTATCTCCTGTTTCTCTACCGCTTTTCGGATTTTTATATCCGTCTTAAAATGCGAGGGATATTTGCATTTATCTTTATTTTGCAACCAAATTTTTGGTATTACTTGAATACCATCCGGGAATTCTGCGACGACAAAGCCTTGATTCGACATCTTCCAATGCGATTCTAAAAAAGAGCTTCTGCGTGTAATATTGTAATAAAAAAAGAAATCAATTTATATAGATGTGTTTTGTGTATATGTGTATTGTTATGTATATGCATTTGTTATGTATATGTAATTGTTGTCTCAACCACAATTTTGTCAGTTTATTTAAATTTTGTCAATTTATTTTAATTTTTTATTTATAAAAGATATTACAAAGCGGAGCGCAATATGTAAATATTATAAATGTGCGGTGCTTATAAGCGGTATTACTGCGAAATATCTTTCATTTTTATATGGCAATTTTATAAATTTAGATCTAATTTTATGTAAAGGCCAGACTTGAATGTCAGATAATTTACTCACTTTAAATATATCCAAATGAACAGAACTACATGGATTATTATAAAGTTCTTCGACAACCTTAAATTTACGACCTACTGCAATATAATTGCCTTCACTCGATGTTGCGATATTTTCCAAACAAACGATATCTTTATCTATGAGACAACAATTATCAGGAGATTTGACTGAAATAATAAAATGAGGAAATTCAATCTTCGAAAATTGTGGATTAAAACAACCTGATATTAGCGGTCCTCTCTCGTGTGGATTCTTTACATTTATTTTTGAAATATTAACATTGTCAGAATTTACTTTACAAAAACTCATTTCCGCATAGCGATTGCTAATTTGCTCCAATGGTTTTTCAGATTTTCTTAAAATAGATTTTAATTCTTTCATAAAATTTTCAAACGGAAAGGCACTGAAAGTATCTAACGGCCCAAATTGTTTTACGCAATCAGTAATGTGTAGAAGCCCGTGAATATTATGAGACACAAATTCGGGCCCGTAAATTTTAATAAAACATTCAACGAAATATCTCAATAATTTGCTCGCGTATTCAATATATTCAGCCGTACTATTATTTTGACATAAAATACGAACAGCAACATGCAAAGTGAGAAAGTTGGAAAATACATCAGGCTTTAATTCTTTTTGCAATACAACGGGACCGGTATATAACAAAAATTGTCTCAATTCGGTTGCTTTCCACTGTGCAAAATCTTCAATTTCTCGCGGTCTTCTCGCAAATTCTTTCGGAATAAAATGCCTGATATCGAGAAGAAATTTGGAAATATTTTGTATTCGTTGCGAGGATAAATATCTAGCATTAAGAGGACCGCATATCCATAATTTTATTAGCTTCTTAACAACGCCGATACATATCAAATGCATATAATCTAATGGAATTTGAGACACAATGTCAAAATTTGGAATATTCAATAGAATAGGACGACCGAGATGGTATTCTTCTTGGGTTTGATTACGAAAGTTAGCGTCTGTTCTTTTTTGCCAATCAAAATCGGGAAAACAAATTCTATTAGCGATAAAATCACCTTCAATTGTACATTTCGAACAGCTAAAATAACCAGTATGTCCTTTAGTAAGCGTAATAAAAGATTTAGCCGGAGCATCACAAATGATAGAATGTATCGACACTGGGAATGTTGTTTCGTTATAAGTTATGCCTTCATTAATTAAAACTGTAACATTTTTTACAAATTGTTCTAAGAATTGATTTGCATCCGCTGGTTTGGTTTTGCCGAAATAACAACCAATAAGAAATACTTTCCCGTGAGGCATAATACGACCTAAAATGGGCCATAATTGATTTGAATTGGATCGAGATATTGGTAAACCATCAATACCGATTTGAATTTTAATAGAAGATGAATTATTACTTTTAGATAAAAATTGCAAAATACTATATTCCATACCCAAATGACAATATTGACCAGGAAATATCTCATTAATAACGTTAGAAGATCGTGGTGTACGTAATAATGTCTTTGCACATTTTGGCAAATTAGAAAAAATTGGATGCACTTTTTTTAAACCAGACAATAAATGTGATAAAGCTACATGAGAAATACGATGCGTAATAGCCCATTGTACTAAAAATGTTTCAAAATCATTGTTTTCGTTTTCTGAATTATTATCCTCTCTGATAAAGTGTGGCAATACATTGTTTAAAGAAACATCAGATTCGGAGATTCTCGTTTCACTAGAATGTGTTAAATTTGCCTCTTGTGTTTCGAAAAGAGTATTATTCAAATTAACATTCCCAGAGTCATCATTATCATTACTCGAAGCGGAATTATTTAAAATTATGTGCGAATTGGATCTACATTCATTATTATCCGAATTATCCGAAGTAAAATTATTTTTAATTTCGTGCAAATTGGCTCTACGTTCTTCATTAAAGACAAGTGAAAATAATGCGTCACTCTCTTCTCGAATTAACTTACGGCGATACCTCGCTGAAATACGCGACAGACATTTGCGTTTCGACATGGTTGATTGGATTTATTATGTAATATTTGTAACGTATACGTGATAAATGTAACGTATTTTTAAAATATGTAAATAATATTTACTGTGTGGGTGTGCGTGTGTGTGTGTGTGTGTGTGCGTGCGTGCGTGCGTGCGTGCGTACGTGCGTGTGTGTGTGTGTGTGTGTGTGTGTGTGTGTGTGTGTGTGCGTGTGCGTGCGTGTGCGTGCGTGCGTGCGTGCGTGCGTTTGCGTGACTGTCAAGTAAAATTATTACAGATTACAAATTATACTTGCTAAATTTTTTTGATTACTCTCCTTGAATCTCCGTTGAATTAATGCGTCTTATACGCATCTACAGCCCATGGGAAGTCAGGAGGAAAAGCGCACGGCGACGAGCTTTAAGGTCGATAATCCTAATAACATTCATGCGAATTAGTATATTCATCATTATATTCGACACGGAATTCTTTACAATTATATGCGAATTGAGGACTCTATACGTTTTTTATTATACAGAAAAGTGTGTAAGTCAAATTTATCATTCTCTTTTCGAGTTTACAGCGTCAGACATTTGCGTTTCGGAGCGATTAATTGCATGTATAGTAATATTTAATCAAATTTAACATTTACAATATATATAAATAATATTTACTGTGTATGTATGTGTAACTGTCAAATAAAAATTATTAAAGATTACAGATTACTTGTTTAATTTTTTTTATAACACTCCTTGTCTAATAGTATATATTGTCCGAGTAATATAATCACAGCTGAATTATTAATTGCATGTATTGTAATATTTACCCAGTCAGAAATCATCCATCGAATTGACATATAATCGACGTCGAAATCATCACAATTACATCGAAGTACATGTAATTTCGATAATTTCGACGTCGATTATATGTCAATTCAATGGGTGATATTTGACTGGATAAATATATATATTACAATACATGATGCCGATTCGATTAATTATTTCTCGCCGGATAACGTTTAACTATATATACGTAAATATGCACACTCAAATAAAAACTATTCAATACTACAGATTATACTTGCCTTATTTTTTGCCAGCTCTCGTTGTCTACAGTTCATCAGAGGAACGGAACAGCGAACAGCGACGGACTTTATCGCCGGCGACGACGTCCTAAACAACATTCATACATGCAAATTGGCTCTATATTCTATATTCATCTCATTATCCGCAACGAAAGAATTTATAATTACGTGCCAATTGGGAACTCTACGTTTATTACAGACGAGTGTATATGATTCATTACTCTCTTTCTGAATTAATTTTTTGGCGGTATCTTTGGTCATATGCGCGACGGACATTTTGGCGCGCTTTTTATTGCATGTATTATTATTACCGTTTAACTACGTACATACGCACTTTATTCAAATAAAAACTACTTAATATGTATTTCAGATTATACTTGCCTTATTTCTTTGATAGCTCTCCTTGTTCAATGCTAATATCTCCTGTAAAATGCTCACGGCTAATCGACGGCGCGTCTTGCACGGATCGCAGACGGGAACGGAAGAGGAGACGAGCACGGCGACGGTCCGCGGCGTCTGCGAGTCCCTAACAACGCTGGTACATAGCAACGATTGTTAGTTACTATTGTATTATTAATTACAACTAACAATAATGAAAATAAGGAAAATAGGGGAGGATAGAGAAATGGGGAGAGAAATGGTGGTGGTGGAATTGGAGAAGGAAGAACAGAAATGGGAAGTGATGGAGAAGAAAAAGAGGCTGAAAGGCAGAAAAGAAAGAAAGGATAGACACGGATTTAACATGGAAAGAAAGGAAGATAAGACGAAAGTTGGGAGAGATAGCAAGGAGAGAAGAGAAAAGAGGAGAAAGGACATGGGTAAGTAATGGCAAGTTAAAAATAGGAGAAAAATGGTGGAGATGGGATGAGGAGAAGGAAGTTCTGAGAGATGAGAAGGGAAATGTAAAGAATATGATAATGGGGGAAGAGGAGAGGAGAAAGGAAGATGGGCTAAAGTAGAGATAGAGAGAGAGAGGGAAAAGGAGAAGAGAGGAAAAGGATGGAAGGTAGTATTCTGGAACGTAGCGGGAGTAGGGAATAAGGACATAGATTTTTGGAAAGGATTAGAGGAATGGGATGTAATAGTGTTATCAGAAACATGGATGGAAGAGGAAGGATGGAAGAAGATGAGAAGGTACCTACCGAAAGGATACGTATGGGGAGTGCAAGGAGCAAGTAGAAAGAAGAAGAGAGGAAGAGCGAAAGGAGGCATGATTATGGGGATAAAAAAGGAGATTGCAGAGAAGGGAGGAATGATGGAGCTGAGTAAGGAGGGCTTTGTGGTAGGAAGAGTAAAGATAGGGAAGGAAAAATGGAGGGTGATAGGAGTATACGTAGGAGAAGGAATAGAGAAGGCGTGCAGGGAGATGGAGAAGTGGACGGAGGAGAAAGAGGAGGAGGTTTACACGATAATAGGAGGAGATTTTAATGCGAGGACAGGACAAGAGGGGGGTAGAATCAGAGATAAGGAGAATGCGGAAGAGGAGAGGAAAGAGGAAAAGAAAAGAAAGTCGAAAGACAAATTAATCAATGCAGAGGGAAGAAAACTACTGGAATTCATGGGAGAAAGAGGTTGGAGCATAATGAACGGTAACACAAAGGGAGATGAGGAGGGAGAATGGACTTTTACAGGAGGAAGAGGGAACACGGTTATAGATTACGTAATTGGAAATGAGGATAGCGGAGAGAAGGTGAGAAGGTTAAGAATAAGAGACAAGGTGGACTCAGATCATCACCCAATAGAAGTGGAGATAGAAGGATGGCAGAGAAGAGAGAGAAGAAAGTCGAGAGGAGGGAGGAGAGGAGTATGGAATGAGGAGGGCCGGAGGATTTTTGAGGGAAAAGTGGGGGAGATAGGAGAAATAGGAGGAGGAGAGGAAGAGATAGATGGAGAATGGGAAAGAATAGAGGAGAGGATGAAGGAAGTATTAAGAGCAACAGAGGAGGACTGGAGGAAAGGGAAGAAGGAGAAAAGAGGATGGTGGGATGGGGAGTGCAGAGAGGAGAAAAGAAAGGTAAGGAGGGAGCTGAGGAGATGGTGGAGGGAAGGAGGTGAGGGGGAGGAATATAGGAAGAGAAGAGGGGATTACAAGAGATTGTGTGAGAGGAAGAAAAAGGAAGAAAACGAGAAATGGGAAAAGAAGGCAGCAGAGGTGAAAAGAGAATCGGAGGTATGGGAGATAATAAACAGAGAGAGAAGAAGATGGAAAGGAATAAACGAAGAAATTGAGATGAGAAAGTGGAGAGAATATTTTATGAAGTTGTTAGGAGGAACAGAGGAGAGAAAGGTAAGAAAGGAAAGAAGAGAGGAGGGGAACAGGACAGAGGGAGGAGGAGGAGGAGGAGGAGGAGGAGGAAATAAGTAGAGAGGAAATGAGAGAGGCAATAAAGAAGCTGAAAGCAGGAAAAGCGACAGGGATAGATGAGATTCCGAATGAGGTATGGAAGTATGGAGGAGGGAACGTGGAGGATTGGATGCTGGATTTTTGTAATAGAATATGGAGAGGAGAAGGATGGCCGAAGAGATGGATAGAGGGAGTGATTACACCGATAAGGAAAAAAGGGGATGGAAAGGAGGTGGAAGACTACAGGGGAGTAACCATGATGCCATCAATGTATAAGGTTTACACGATGATACTGACAGAAAGATTGAGGAAGGATGTGGAGGAAAAAGGGATAGTGCCAGAAAATCAGATGGGGTTTAGGAGAGGAATGGGAACAATAGACAACATATACGTGATGAATTATCTAATCAATAGACAACTGGAAAAAAAAGAGGGAAGGCTAACGGCATTGTTTATAGATCTGAGAGCAGCATTTGACTCGGTAGACAGGGAGAAATTAATGGAGGCAATGGAGGAGAGAGGAGTAAGGAAAGGATTGAGAAGAAGGGTAGAGATGGTGATGAGAGAGACAACATGCAGGATAAAGATAGGGGAAGAAGTTGGAGAGAGTTTTTGGATTGAGAAAGGAGTAAGACAGGGGTGCCCATTGAGTCCAATACTATTCAACATCCTAATAGCGGACTTAGAGGAAAAAATGGGGAAGGTGAGAAGAGGAGGAGTAAGAATAGGAGAAAAAAGGATTTATACATTGGCATACGCGGATGATATGGTGTTGTTGGTAGAGGAGGAAGAGGAACTGAGAAGTATGGTAGAAAGGTTAGAAGAATATCTAGACAACAAGAGATTGGAGCTGAACGCAAAGAAGACGAAGATAATGAGGTTTAGGAGAAAGGGAGGAAGATGGAAGAAGAGGGAGTGGAGATGGAAAGGAGAGAAAATGGAGGAAGTGAAGGAGTTTACGTATCTGGGATATAGACTACAGAGGAATGGAGGACAAGAAGGACAAGTGAAAGATAGGATGAGGAGAGCGGCGGCTATTATGGGGCAAGTATGGGGAATAGGAAAGAGAAAGTTTGGAAAAGATTGGGGGAGAAGATTATGGCTTTTCGACAAATTGGTGTGGACAGTGATGAGCTACGGGGTGGAAATATGGGGGTGGAAGGAGAGAGAGGGAATGGAAAGGATGGAAGAAAGATACCTGAGATGGATATTAGGAGTAGAGAGGGGAACGCCAGGTTATATGGTGAGGGAGGAACTGAGAAGAGAGAAGCTGAGGATAAGAGCCGGAAAAAGGGCATGGAATTTCGAGAAGAGAATGGAGGAAGGAAGAGGAAGCGAGCTAGCGAGGAAATGCTGGGAGGAAATGAGAGAAAGGGCGAAAATAGGAAGAGTGGGATCGGAGTGGGAAAGGGAAAGGGAAGAATATTTCAGGAAAAGAGGTAGGAGGATAGAGGAGGTGGAGGAGAGAAGAGGTATGGAGGAGGGATGGTTTGGGGAGTTAATAAGGAGGGATCTGGAGGAGCAGAGGAGGGAGAGGGAGGAGAGAATAAAGGGATCGGAATTTAACAGATGGTACAAGGAGGTTAGAGGAGAAGGAGTGCCAGAATACTTAAGAAAGGATTGGGGAGAGAGTAGATGGAGGAGGATAGCAAGATTCAGATTAGGAAGTGAGATTTTAGAAAGCAGGTATTGGGAGGAAGCAGAAAAGAGGAAATGTAGGATATGTGGAGAGGAGGTAGAATCGTGGGAGCATGTATGGGAGAGGTGTGAAGTGAGGGGGGAGAGGAAAGAGAGTTGGCAGGAAGTAGTGAGGGAGATACTAGGAGAAAAAGGAGAAGGGGAAGGATGGATGAGAGAGATAGAGAGAGAAAGGGAGATAAGAAAGGGGAGAGGAGAGAGAAGTGTGGAGAGAGTAGGAGGGAAGGAGGATGATGGAGGAGAGAATGACGTGAGGGGGGCAAAGGGGAAGAATGTTTAAGAAAAGAAAGCAAGAGGAAACGGAAGTCCAAGAAGCGTGTGTGTGTGTACATGGGGTTGGGCAGAAGCCAAGGGGAGATGGCCTGGACAACGGGCGACCCAAAGCGGAAGTCCAACCCCTTAGGACAGATAGGTTAAGTTAGCAATAAGATAGGTTAAGAGGTTAATAGCGAAGAGGTCATGGTAGCGTGCGATTTATATTTTTTGTTTTTGTTTGAATTAGTACCTTTGTATATGCGGCTGCTGTATTGTTAAATTGTAAGGGAATTGAAACCCCAAGGGGACCAATAAAATTTACTACTACTACTACTACTACTACTACTACAAATAAAAAATATACAATTAATATAAATAAAAAATTTTTGCAATAACGCACGAATATATTAATAAAAACTTAATAAAAGAAATTTTTACTGAATTTGCAATTAAATATTTAATAAAATAAAATACGTTGAACTCTGAAAACTATTTAACTTATTATATACTATTATAATTAATGTAAATGTATATGGATTGTCCATCTGAAACATACGTAAAATTTATTAATAATAAGCTTATTATTGTAAGACTTAGACAGTAAGCGCGAATTAACCAATCATAATGAGAGAGACGAGAAAGAGACTCGCAAAAATACTATGATTGATCAATTCGCTTACTATCTAAGTCTTACAATATTTATACTTTCCTTTATGTGGCTTACAGTGCTTTTAGTTTTTTTACTCTAAAGTTGCGTTCCGATATTTATACTCACTTCTGAAAATCTATATTATTTGTACATATATATGTAACTGTATAATAGTATATATTTTCAGTACTAATAATTAATATTGGAATGCATTTAATGTTTTATTACCGCTTACATCTTTGTGTGTCATCGAGGCAATGTGAAAATTTTATTTATGTGCAATAGCCTTAGGGCCTGAGGGCCATTACACGTGAACAAAATTTTAGCATTGAATTCATGACACACATGTTAAATTTTTATTTATTTTATTTTTTTAAGAAGTCTCAGATCTGCATATATAAGTTATTTGAAACTTATATATTGCGTTTCATCATTGACTTCCATAAAAATAACCTGAAAATAAACTAGATGTATTATTATTGCACATAAACAAAAATAGTGACAACAAATTAAAATTATCAAGCTATGTGGTATTAAATAAAATAATTGATATATTTTTTACTATTTTATAATAATGTATTTTTTCTTTTATATATTAGGTAGGGTCACTATTTATATTTCGGGAATTGGCAACACTGATGTCATGTGAGTCCATCTGACGGTTCCATCGTAAAGTTTGACATTTTTGACGATATACGTACTCAGAACATTTTGTCATACGGACGCTATTTGTTTATTTTATATTTAGTTGAAAGTTTCGTCTCGGCAAAAAATGGAACTGAATCGTGAACATTTTCGTGCGATGATTTTTTACGACTTTCGACGTGGATTATCACAACAAGAGTGCGTCAATCAACTTAATTTGACTTTTGGCGATGAAGCTCCATCAAAAACCACTGTGTATCGCTGGTATAGTGAATTCAATCGTGGTCGTAGTTCGCTGTCCGACGAGTTTCGTGAAGGTCGTCCAAAATCGACTGTAGTGCCAGAAAACATCGATGCTGTGCACGAAATGATTAAGCAAGATCGTCATGTAACCTATTGTGAGATTGAGGCATCTCTAAGCATTAGTTCCACCAGCATATATGCGATTTTACATGAACACTTAGCTGTGCGAAAGTTATGTTCGCGTTAGATCCCACATAATTTGACAATCGCTCAAAAAAAGGCTCGTGTCGATTGATGCAAAGAAATGCTTAAGAAATACAATCGCGGTGCTTCAAAAGACGTTTATAAAATCGTGACAGGTGACGAATCATGGATATATTCGTATGAGCCCGAAAGTAAGCAGCAGTCGACTGTATGGGTGTTCCAAGATAAATCAAATCCAACAAAAGTTGTTCGCGCACGAAGCACTTCAAAGAAAATGGTGGCCTGTTTCTTCGGAAAAACTGGTCATATTGCAACAGTGCCTCTAGAGGATCGTAGAACAGTAAATTCTGAGTGGTACACAACCATCTGTTTGCCAGAAATCTTCGGTGAAATAAGGAAAACAAACAAGAGACGTCGGATTGTTCTTCATCATGACAATGCGAGCTCTCACACATCGGCTCAAACAAGAGACTATTTGAGCACTCAAAACATCGAATTGATGGGTCATCCGCCGTACAGCCCTGATTTGGCACCCAATGATTTCTTTTTGTTCCCATCCGTGAAGAATAAACTGCGTGGTCAACGATTTTCATCGCCCGAAGAAGCTATTGAAGCGTTCAAAAATCATGTTTTGGAGATACCTTATTCGGAATGGAATAAATGCTTTGAAAATTGGTTTAAGCGCATGCAAAAGTGTATCGATCATCGTGGCGAGTACTTTGAAAAACAATAAAAATATATTCGCAGCTTAACTATTTGTTTTTGTTCCTATTCCCGAAATATAAATAGTGACCCTCGTATTAATTTTATAGATCTTTTATAGATTTTTATCTATTATAGATTATTAAGATCTTTTATAAATTAATAATTTGAATTTTCCATTGATGAATCGCGATTGGGTGAATCATTGTTTTCGTCTCTAACGGTCCGCTTTTTCATTATTGTATCTTGCCTTGGAATGCCTAAACCACTCCATGACTTCGTTGTATTTTTGTTCGATCAGAATCCGAGATATTGTGAAGTATGGATCCTGAAAATATTTAATGTTTAATTTTCGAGATATTTCACCGTTCGGTACTTTTTATACACTCTGTATATATATTCAAAGGCATTTTTGTTTATAAATTAATTATTTATAAACAACGTATAAACTTACTGAAAATAACTTTCATTAACTCTAAATTTTGTAATGGATATTTTCCACGTCGGCTTTCCCAATTGTAATTTTCCGCCAATTTATTTGAGAATACTTTATAAAGTGTTCTCTTTACCGCATCATCGACGCCTGTTCCACCAATTGCTTGTATATATGCGCGCTATAATAAGAATACAAGTAATATTATTATTAAAGTTAATAACGATCTCTTTTTCTTAACAGCAATTTCCAATTATTTTCCATAATACATTTTATTGTGAATTGAAACGTTTACTGAAAATTGATTATGCAATAAACTTATGAATTTTATAATAATTAGAAATATATTATATATAGGGTGAACCCCTATATATAATATAAGGATATATAGGGTGATTAAGAAAATGGGGTGAAGAAAATAGGGTGATTAAGTGACAATTAAGAAAAAGATTTTAGACAAAAGTTGCAAGTACCAAGGGGGACATATATGATACCATACCAGTTATTTTTTTGCTCTCTTGCTTTTTTATCGAAATATATGTAAAGGTCACTTTCGATTTTTTAAATGTTGTTGGGTATCCTTAATTAAAAAAATGAAAGTGACCTTTACATCTTGATAAAAAAAAGGCTAAGCAAAGACTATATGGTCCTATTATATGTCCCTCGTATTAAAACCATATGACACTAATTATTGTTATATAAGACATTTCTTCATATGCATATTTTAGGATACATACACGATCTATTCCAAAAGTTCGGGAACTTTTGGGACAGACCGTACATTTTACAAAATTTACAAAGTATCGTTAACGTTTATGAATGGTTCACTCTATGTATTCAGTTACTAAAATATATAGATATGTGCTAACTTACTATTTCAGTGTTCTCTTGGGAATTAGCAGTTTTTAAAATTTCCTCAATTTCCGTTAATTGGGCTCTAGTTTCTAAAGGAAATCGACTTTTAGCGCCTTCGTAAGAAAATCTCGTATTTTCACATTCTGTGCTTCTGTTGCTTTTGTCCACTAAAATATCCAATAGAGATAGTGCTTGTCTCATATCGTATTTTACAGTTGCTATTTCTCTAGTCAATCTCTTTAAATGATCCACTGTAAATAGTATTTTTAATTATTAATAAACGAATAAATGTGTGTGTATATATATCATGTAAATTTCAAAAATCTACATTTTCCGTTTATTAGTAAAACTCTATTAGTATACCGAAATAATATATAGTTTTGTATACTATATTATCATTTTATATACTATATAAAAGTTTATATGTTATTTCGGTATATAGATAGTAAATAGAGTTTTATTAATAAAAAGAACAAAATGTAGATTTTTGAAATTTATACTACACACACACACACCAGTAACGTATTATTGTATGCATATAAATGTATGTAATATATATATATATATATATATATATATATATATATATAAAACATGAATTAAAATTGCATTACACATGTTGATTTATCAAGAAATACAGCAGACAAGACGATGTATTATTTTGATATATGTATATAATTATTTTGACAATAAAAAGAATATATATAAAATGTTGCTTTTTGAAATTATTTGAAATTAATAGTTTTAATTTTTTTAAATCAATAGTTTTGTATTAAAATATGTATAAATTATAATTATTTTTTTTATTTCTTTCAAATACACACCCACACACACACACACACACACACACACACACACAGAGTTAAATACCCAGATAGCACAAGATATCGAAAAGAATTCATTTATATGTCATCAATTTTGAGTCCTTTTTCAAATGCATATAAAATTCATTTTAAAAATGAATTCTATACATATAACTATGCATATATAAAATATAAGGCGCATATTTAAACAATTAATTGTAGTGAAACATTACATATAATAGATGCTTTAAAACTATACAATACACACACACACACATATATATATATATATATATATATATAGTTATGTCGAGAATCTATTATGTATAAAATCATATAATATTTAAAAAATTATTGTTAAAATATGCCTTATATTTTTATGCATTATATCTTTATTATATATTTACTTACTAATTGCAGCTTGTGAAGACTATGATCTTTTAAATTGTTATATTTTCTTTTTCCTCATTTGTATATCGATTTTCTCGCGCATATATGTTAGATCGATCAACTTCCTTAATTTTATTAACATGTCGATTATGTACTACATTGTTTCGATTTTTTTCTTTTGTAACGATGCATGGTTCTTCATCTATTTCGTATGAAGTATCGTTGTCATTTGCATCTGTACATAAAATATATTATAAATACATTTAATGTAAACACACTTTATGTAAGTATAGCAGGTATTATTATAATTTCTGAGATATTTTATTAATATTGTTATTATGTATTATTTTAAATGTTTTATGTGTGTATATAAAATTATGGAATACTCTTTTAAATTTTTTAACATAATTTTTAACAATTAATTCTTTTTAATAATTAAATACTGTGATATTTTTTTACAAATATGAAATTTTACATTGTATTATATTATTACATGGAAATATGTAATGAATTTACTCACCTTGTTGAGATGATGTGGAGTTCAAGTTTGAAACTTGTGATAATCCTTTGTGTTTTTTTTTGTAGAATCCGAAAAATATATAGTGGAACCTGATGTATTTTCACATTGCTTCATTTGTATTGTACAGTCGTTGACAAATATCCGTCGCGTATTTCAACAAAATATCGCCGTAAATTAATTTATGTTTGTTCATTAGCAACGACGATTGCAACGACGTTGTTGATCGCACTCCGCTTCGCATTCCTGATCCTCTCTTCCGAAACGGTGGATTGTGTCCGACGCACGTATTGCTATCAGGAAAGAAGATACTATATATTGGACAGGATAGGAGTTATCCAGAAAATAAGGCAAGTGCATAGTCTATACTTTTTACTAAATAATTTTCATTTATATTAAAACACAACAATATATATATAATCATGCCAAAGCGCAAATATCCGTCGCGTATTTCAACGAGATATCGCCGTAGATTAATTCGAGAAGAGAATGATGAATTATTTCCGCTTATATGTAATAATGAAGAACCTAGAACCAATTCGCGTGTAATTGAAAATAATTCCGTATTGAATAATGACAATGATGAAATTCTACACGCCAATTTTAATAACGCTCTTTCCGCATTTGTACAAGAGACAACAAATTTATCATTTTCCGAGGAAACGAACATTTTCGAATCTGATACTTCCTTGAACAATACATTTGTACAAACTTTTATAATAGAGGATGATAATAATAGTAATTTAGAAAAAGAAAACAATGATTTTGAGGCATTTTTAATACAATGGGCTATCACGCATCGTATTTCTCACGTAACTTTATCACATTTATTGTCTGGTTTGAAAAAAGTACATCCAATTTTTTTTAATTTGCCAAAATGTGCAAAGACATTATTACGTACACCACGATCTTCTGTTATTACTAATATGTTTCCTGGTCAATATTGTCATATCGGTATTGAATACGGTATTCTACAATTTTTATCTGCAAGTAATGGTATGAATAATAGTACAGTTTTATCTTCTATTAAAATTCAAATCGGTATTGATGGTTTGCCGATATCTCGATCTAACTCGAATCAATTATGGCCCATTTTAGGTCGAATTATGTCTCATGAAAAAGTATTTCTTATTGGTTGCTATTTTGGTAAAACCAAGCCCGCGGATGCAAATGAATTTTTAAAACAATTTGTAATAGATATAAATGTTTTGATTGATAAAGGCGTAACTTATAATAAAACAACATTTCCAGTTTCAATACTGTTGTGCCTCGGGTGAGACACAGAAGGGATGTTGCCGGATTAGGAAGTGGACTTCTGAATCGTCGGGGTTTCTCCGTAGATTTTAGTCTTGTTTAATGTAGAATTACTTCTTTAATCAATATATATATATATGTGTGTATTTTGGTATATAATCTTAACAAGACTCGGCGTATGGTTATTTATAAACCTCTGGTAACTTCGTTTCTCTTTTTCGTTCGTTGACGCGACTCTAGATGTATTCTGACTTTAGCTAACGACTCGTCTGATTACGAGTCGGGAGTTATCCTCGATGTGTCTCGGTAGGTTGGTCTAATTCAACTCGCTCTCTGTTCACTCCCGAGTTCTTACGTGAACTCGGTTTTTTGTTATTTCATTTGGAAGGGGTGCCTGGCGACAGGCACTCGATTGGTGCATAGCTTTTGCATACGCGGCTAGATTTTGAGCTAAGAGCTGTTCGAAAGATGAAGTTCTTAGCTTGCGTCTTCGCGGTTTCCGGCCCGCTGCTGCATCAGCGGTCTCCACGCGGATTTATATCCGTTAACTTGTAATTATAGCCTTTCGGGCTATAACAATACACTCTATATATGTGATGCTCCTGCAAAATCATTCATAATACTTACTAAAGGACATACTGGTTATTTTAGCTGTTCAAAATGTACAATTGAAGGTGAATTTATCGCTAACAGAATTTGTTTTCCCGGTTTTGATTGGCAAAAAAGAACAGACGTGAGTTTTCGTAATCAAACTCAAGAAGAATATCATCTCGGTCGTTCTATTTTATTAAACATTTCAAATTTTGACTGATTGTATCTCAAATTCCATTAGATTACATGCACTTGATATGCATTGGCGTTGTTAAGAAATTAATAAAATTATGGATAAGTGGTCCTCTTAAATCTAGATGTTTATCATCGCAACGAATAAAAAATATTTCTCAATCTCTTCTCAATATGAGACGTTTTATTCCAAAAGAATTTGCAAGAAGACCGCGAGAAATTCAAGATTTTGCACAATGGAAAGCAACCGAATTAAGGCAATTTTTGTTATATACCGGTCCGATTGTATTACAAAAAGAAGTAAATTCTGATATATTTTCAAACTTTTTAACTTTACATGTTGCTACTCGCATTTTATGTCAAAATAATAGTACAGTCGAATATATTAAATATGCAAATAAATTATTTAAACATTTTGTTGAATGTTTCATCAAAATTTACGGGCCCGAATTTGTATCCCATAATATTCACGGTCTTCTGCATATAACTGATAACGTAAAACAATTTGGGCCATTAGATACTTTTAGTGCTTTTCCATTTGAAAATTTTATGAAGGAATTAAAATCTCTTTTAAGAAAATCTGAGAAACCATTAGAGCAAATTAACAATCGCTATGCGGAAATGAGTTTTCATAAAATCAAATCTAATAATGCAGACATTTTAAAAATATGTGTAAAGAATCGACATGAGAAAGGACCGTTAATATCAGGTTGTTTCAATCCACAATTTTCGAAGGTTAAATTTTCTCATTTTATTATTTCAATCAAATCTTCCGACAATTGTTGTCTTATAGAAAAGGATATTGTCTGTTTGGAAAATATTGCAACATCGAGTGATGGCAATTATATTGCAGTCGGTCGTAAATTTAAAGTTGTTGAAGAACTTTATAATAATATATGTAATTCTAGTTATTTAAACATTTTTAAAGTAAGTGAGATATCTGACATTCAAACGTGGCCTTTGAATAAAATCAATTACAAATTTGTAAAATTGCCATACAAAAATGAAAGATATTTCGCAGTGATACCGGTTATAAGTACTGCACATTTATAATATTTGTATCTTGAGTTTTTATTTGTTTAATAAAAAATTAAAGTAAATTCTGATAAAATTTTGAATTGAGACAATCTTTTTTACACACACACAAACACACACTATATATATATATATATATATATATGTATATATAATTTATACAAATTTGATATCTTTGTTAACATGATTACTCGTAGATGTTTTTTTAAAGGTCATTCCACAATAAATTGCAAATGTTCTCGATGCCAGTTGACAATTGTCGATTGACTAATTAGAGCAAAGCAACTTGTCAGCTGATTGGTTAATCCGCAATTGTCAACTAACAACGAGGATATTTGCAACCTAGCTATTATAGAATGGCTCTAATTTTACAGGAAGACGTCGAATCGAGAATTCATTCTGGTTAAATTCTTCGATGGTATTCAAGTAATCCTAAAATCTGGCTACAAAGTAAAGAATAATGCAAATATCCTAAAAAATTCATTAATATCAAAAAGTAAAAAACACATGAATTATTTTATTTAATACACATAGCTTGATAATTAACTAGTGTAATTATGTTATATTGCAGAATTTTTTATTTGTTGTCACTATTTTTGTTTATGTGCAATAATACATCCAGTTTATTTTCAGATTATTTTTATGGAAGTCAATGATGAAACGCAATATACAAGTTTCAAATAACTTATATATGCAGATCTGAGACTTCTTAAAAAAATTAAATAAATAAAAATTTAACATGTGTGTCATCGATTCAATGCTAAAATATTATTCAGTGCAATGGCCTTCAGGCCCTAAAGCCATTGCATGTAAATAAAAATTTTACATTGCCTCAATGACACACATAAAGATACGTAAGCGGCAATAAAACATATTGAATGTACTCCAATATTCATTATTACTGAAAATACTATACAGTTACATATATATGTACTAATAATATAGATTTTCAAAACTGAGTATAATAAATATCGAAACGCAACTTTAAAGTAAAAAAACTAAAAGCACTGTAAGCTACATATAGAGAAAAGTATAAATACTGTAAGACTTAGATAGTAAAAGCAAACTGATCAACCATAGTATTTTTGAAATAATTCTCGCGAGTCTTCTTATCTCTCATTATGATTGGTTAATTCGCGCTTACTGTCTAAATCTTACAATAACCTTATTATTAATAAATTTTACGTATGTTTCAGATGGACAATCCATATACATTTACATTAGTATAATAAGTTATATTGTTTTCAGAGTTCAACGTATTTTATTTTAAATATATAATTGCAAATTCAATAAAAAATTCTTTTATTAAGTTTTTATTAATATATTCGTGCGTTATTGCAAAATATTTTTTATTTATATTGATTTGTATATTTTTTATTTGTATATGCGATTATTATTAATTTTACAATAAAAACAGAAAAAATTTTTTCCAATTTCTGTATTTTTGTGTGTTTCCAATTGTCTTCTTTAATAATTAAGCTAGAAATATTTTAGAAACATCCATAAATCATCTATATAATCTCTAGTAGATGTTCATTATTCATCTATGTAACCTCTAATGGATATCCATTATCCATCCATCATTTTTTGAAATATCCATAATTACTCTGTATTACATCCATATGACATCTATGAGTATGTCTAATGGATGTCGAATGGAAGTAGCAAATGCGAAACTACAAACATAATGTTTTTAGTGTTATTATTTTATTATTTAATATATTTATATTATATTCATGAATTTAGTAAAGTTAAATTTGTAAATTTTAGAAAATTAAAAATAGGATATATAATATTACATGTTTTTAAGTGTACTTTCAATACATTTGAGAATTACAAATAATATTTAAATTAAAATTAAATGTTGTTTTGTTAAAAATGTAAAAGAAATAATACGTGTACAAATATATTTAATATTTATTCATCTATCATCTATCATAGATATCTATTAGACATCTATGATAGATTTACAGACGATCATTTTATCGCGGAGATAATATGGAGATCTATTAGAAATCTATACAGCATCCATCGTGGAGATATATGTTCCATGGAACTATGGAGGCTATATGGACATCCATTGGATGTCATGTTCTGTTGGTTGTAATATATATATTTATCCAGTCAAATATCACCCATTGAATTGACATATAATCAACGTCGAAATTATCGAAATTACATGTACTTCGATGTAATTGTGATGATTTCGACGTCGATTATATGTCAATTCGATGGATGATTTCTGACTGGGTAAATATTACAATACATGCAATTAATAATTCAGCTGTGATTATATTACTCGGACAATATATACTATTAGACAAGGAGTGTTATAAAAAAAATTAAACAAGTAATCTGTAATCTTTAATAATTTTTATTTGACAGTTACACATACATACACAGTAAGTATTATTTATATATATTGTAAATGTTAAATTTGATTAAATATTACTATACATGCAATCAATCGCTCCGAAACGCAAATGTCTGACGCTGTAAACTCGAAAAGAGAATGATAAATTTGACTTACACACTTTTCTGTATAATAAAAAACGTATAGAGTCCTCAATTCGCATATAATTGTAAAGAATTCCGTGTCGAATATAATGATGAATATACTAATTCGCATGAATGTTATTAGGATTATCGACCTTAAAGCTCGTCGCCGTGCGCTTTTCCTCCTGACTTCCCGTGGGCTGTAGATGCGTATAAGAAGATGTCGAATCAAGGCTTTGTCGTCGCAGAATTCCCGGATGGTATTCAAGTAATACCAAAAATTTGGTTGCAAAATAAAGATGAATGCAAATATCCCTCGCATTTTAAGACGGATATAAAAATCCGAAAAGCGGTAGAGAAACAGGAGATACCAAAGTTTGATTGGCCCGCATTAGAAGTTATAAGAATTTTTGGCGAATATTGTAAGTACTATATTTAAGTATAGGGTTTTACTGACTTTTATAAATATTTTACTTATTTATAATATTTAATGTTTATAATATTTTCAGCGTCCTTACAGAAGGCTTATGCGAAGGCAGAAAAAGCTTTATACACGTCAGATATGGACACGGAAAAGGAAGCAAAATATTACCGAAAACATAGAGCGAGAAAAATTTACTCTTCGTCGGAAAGCGAAGAAGAGTCTGGTGTAAATTTGCCACCTGCTCCATGTCCTCCTGCAAAACGTAATGTTATAAGCATTTTCATTGCGCGCGCCCGCGTGTGTGTGTGTATATACATACACACACACGCATTCAATGTATATATATTTTCTTCATTAAATATATGTATGTATATATGTGTAAAACTCTCTTATATCTCTTATATTTAACATATTGTATTATATATTTTATACATACATTTACACATATATATTATACATATATTTTATTTTATTAATATATAATAATATATTGTTTTTATGATTCATGTAAAATTATATTATATTTAAATTTCTTTAACTTTTCTTTATATTATAGCTTGAATCACTTTGATGATGTCGCGTATTGGAATCAAAGTTTTCAAAACACGTGGTAAAGTATTTATGGCGAACACAAAGTCACCTTACATCGATTCTAATACGTTACATCATCACCGAAATTCAGTATAATTTCGAACGTTGGACCGTTAAGACGTGTTGATACTTTTATTTTTTCTTTTGTAATAAATAAAATTTAGAGTGGGTCCGATGCATCTGGGAAAATGCTAACGATAAATCGTAATCTTAATTTGAAATAAAATTTAGAGTGTTACAGTGAAATGAGAAGTTCATAAAATCCAGACTATATAAATTCTATCAAAATTAATTACTAAAATCTTGACACAGATCAACGACTCAACGATTCAGATGTATCTCGGATACAATGTAAAACTACATCCAATGTACGCTCTTCCGAAAAATCACAATCATCGCAAATTACAAACTCGAGCTCCCATTCATCATTTTTACAAGGTGAGCATTCGCAACATTACATAAAATTTCATATTTATAATTAATATTATTAAAGTTACATATATATATATATATATATATATGTATATATACAGGGTTTGTCCGGAAAGTAATGCGTCGCATTTTTTTAAAAAAGAATTTATTGATCGCATAGGTAAAACAACTTAAAATTGTTCGAAGTATGACCCTTCTGCGTCAATACATTTTTGCCAACGCGATTTCCATGCGTCATAAGATTTCTGGAACTCCTTGACTGGGATGCTGTTCAGGGAGGCCGTCGAAGTAGCTTGTACGTTGTCAACCGACTCGAGCTGTTGTCCTTTGAGCTCCCTTTTCAGCCGAGGAAATAAAAAAAGTCCGCCGGGGCCAAACTTTCTTGAGCATTTCAAAAGTTTCCAGCGGCGTCTTGTCCAGCTTCACGCAAAACTTTATCGCATAGCGTTGCTCTATCGTTCTCTCCATCACAAGTTCGACGCGACCACTAAGCAGAGGTTCACAGAATAAGCCGTCCTAACCCTCCAAGCGCATGGAAACAATTGAGCGACCTACCGTTGGAAAGCTAAGGGTACCCCCCTTCCTCCCCAACCGGTCCCATCGCTCTGCGATGTATAGTCGCGTCACAAAAAAATGCGACGCATTACTTTCCGGACAAACCCTGTATATTTAACTTTTATATACAATATTTAAAATAATACATACAATTTTGTTCTCTACAGCTTCGCCTATTAATGAAGATAGGAATGGAGATGATTTCGGTGCTTCATGTGAAACAGATGCTGAGGAACATATGCCGCGTACTATTATTGCTCCAAGAGAGAAAACTCGAGATGGCTTGATACATGCCCATGGTCGGTCAGACAATGAATATTCGCATAACAGCCCTATAATAAAAGGGAAAAATCGAATTAATTCGACACATAATTGGTATGACACCATCGATCCACCATTGACGCCATCGATCGGCTCGAGACATAATGACAATGATGCGGGAAAAATTGGCCGAGCTACTAAGAATAAGTATACGTACAGAGAAATTGAAAAGGAAAAGGAAAATTTTAATAATCAATTTTCACACGCAGAAGGTCCAATTGGTAAGTAAAGCTGCGTTCGGGAACATCACGCGGATGCACACCGGCCGCTGAAAATTTATACTATGCGTTAGGCCTGTTCTACAATAGAGTCGTAAGCTGTAAGACATAAAAAATTGACCAATCACAGACGAATTAAAATAGAAGAAAAATCGACTGTGATTGGTCAATTTCTTACGTCTTACAGCTTACGACTCTATTGTAGAACAGGTCTAACGCATAGAATAGAGTTTTGGCGGCCGGTGTGCACTCGTGTGATGTTTCCGAACGCAGCTTAAATGTAATGCATGTGTGTGTGTGTGTGTGTGTGTGTGTGTGTGTGTGTGTGTGTAAATACGGTTAAAATACACAATTATGCACTCAATTATTATAAAAAAGGATTATTGAAAAGGTTATATTAAACAAAGTACTTAAAGTATTATTAAAGTGATTATTAAAAAATATTATCGTTAAATTATGCGCATTTATATATATATATATATATATATATATAAATATAAAATGCGCATAATTTAATAATATTTTTTAATAATCTCTTTACTGGTCCTTTTTATAATGTTTTTAATAATCATTCTTTTATATGATTTTATACATATCAATGTCCGCAGTATTGTGTATTTTAATCGTTTTCTCTCTCACACACACCCACACACACGTACGCACGCACGCACGCACGCCCGCACACGCTCACGCACACGTTCACACACCCGCGCGCGCGCGCGTGTAATTTAAATATTTTCAACAGTTTACATTTATTCTTGTATATTTCTGGTTTATCGTTTGAAAGCAGCGTGTAATGCGACTAATTTATGTTTTATAAGCTATTCGTATATTTTATATACTATGCACATTTTATAACGTTTTTTTATTATATGTTTTTGTATTTTTTTTATATTATTATTATAAACGTTAACACATTTATTATATAAATTTATATGCTATTGATACATTACAATTACATATCATGTTGATTTTATAAATCAGTCGTATTACACGTTGCCTTCAAGAAAATAAATACTAATAATATTTGTAGTTGATCATTTAAAAAAATTAACGAGGGAAGTAGCATCAGTAAAATATGATGTGAGGCAAATACTGACCTTAGTAGACATCATAGTGGACAAAATTAATAAAGACACAGAATGTGAGAGAACACAAATTTCCTTTGAGGGCGCTGAAAACCGGTTTCCCTTGCAAACCGTAGTTCAGTTAGCGGAAGTTGAGGAGATCTTGAAAGCGTCAAATTCCCAACATAACACTGAAATAGTAAGTAAACGCATATAAATTTATATATATAAGATATAAATATTTTACCAATAAAATAATCAGACGCGAAATTATATTTTGATAATTGAACAAATACTGTAACTCACAATTACCATGAAGTTTTACAAGCTTTTATTGCATACATTTTATCGTTCAGATTATTAATAATTTAAAATTGTTATAAAAAAATGATTGGAAAGATTGAGAATTTAAAAGAATTTTAAGGAATTATTTAATCTGATAATAATATATTATTTTACCTTTTTATTTTATAGCGCGGATATATCAAATCCATCGGAGGGACAAGTGTCGATGATGCCGTAAAGAGAACATTGTATAAAGTATTCTCCAATAAATTGGCGGAGAGATATAACTGGGAAGGCCGACGCGGAAAGGAACCACTGCAGAAACTGGAAGTGATGAAAGTTATTTTCAGTAAGTTTAAATATTAATTAAACGTAAAAATATGTGATTAAGTAATGCTTTCATATATATACACATAATGACAGATAAAAAAACTGCACACACACACACACACACACGCGCGCGCGCGCGCGCGAATGCAAACTCTCTCTCTCTCTCTCTCGCTCTTTCTCTCTGTGTTATTTTACAGGGTGTCACGGAAATTTGTTGACTATAATTAACGGTCAGTTTTTAACGCACATAAGGAACAAAAAAATAAAAAAATCTTTTAACAGATGACATTTTGCATTTATATTTACATTTAAATAAAGATTGGAAATAATTTTATCACTACAAACAAACGTTTATTTTAAAATACTAATTTAATTATAACAGTTTCAGTAATTTATCATGACGCATTGTACTATATGCATGGTCCGTATTCAGAACGCTTTTAAAGATGTTAGCGTGCTTTTTTGTCATTCTATCTTTATTGTTCATTAAACGTGAAATAAGGATAGAATGACAAAAAAGCGCGCTAACATTTTTAAAAGCGCATTCCGAATACGGACAATATAGTACAATGCGCCCTTGATAAATTACTGAAATTAACTGTTATATATATATATTTAATTAGCATTTTGAAATAAACGTTTGTTCGTAGTAATAAAATTATTTCCACAATTATCTTTGTTTAAATGTAAATAAATGCAAAATGTCCTCTGTAAAAAAATTTTTTAATTTTTTTGTTTCTTATGTGCGTTAAAAATTGACCGTTCTGAAACGTGCAGTTCTGAATACGGGCCTATATGTATACCTATATATATAGCTGTTATTTTTAAATACACGTAGGGAGCAGAAAAAATTAAAATATCTTTAAATAGAGGACATTCAGCAGTTTTATTTTCACATAGAGTAAAGACATTCTTATCATTTATAATAAAGTTTTTTTTTAATGACATATTTAAAGTGCATCATTAAAACATCATTGAAACAAAATCATATCTCTTGCGGAAACTATAAATAATTTTACGTAACTTTACGTCTCTTTTGAGATGCCATTCATTGCTTTTAATTCTCACAGCTCTGATCAATTTCCTTTATTATCTTGAACCATCTTTTATAAATCGTTTATTAAATAATAAGTATATTTCCGATATTTGTCTTTACTCTATGTATAAATAAAAATGCCTCTCTTAGAAAATATTTTACTTTTACTGCTTCCTCTCTATGTGCATTTGAAAATGACAGCTGTTTATTTTCAGCAATTTTCCATTCGACACCACGTAGATATTCGTAATTGTTTATTATTTTAATCAAATTTAAAAAGTTTTCGATGAATCAATTTATGTGAATAAAATTTTGTGTACTTTTAATCTTTTTGCATTATAAAACTAAAAAAGCAAAATTATTCAAATATAATTTATGCACTCTCTATCTCAATGAATATAAAATAAGAAAGTTAAAACAAAGAAAATGTTTACAGGATCCATACTTCACAATATCCCGGATTCCGACCAGAGAAAAATACAACGACGAGTTATGGAGTGGTTCCGACATTCCAAGGCGAGGCATGAAAATGAGGAGAAGCGGATGAATAGACGCGAAGGTAATGCTTTGTCTAATTTCTTGGAGGACTGCAGTGAATAGAGAAATGAAAAGTTATTAATAATGTCAATGAAAACACAGTTCTCTAATATTGTACTTTAGAATTCCAGTAAAGATAAAGTAAAGCCTGAGACACAATGCGAGGCAATAGCGATAGAAATAGCACAGCACAAATTTCAACCTATAAGAAACCACGTACCAATGGAATGTGGTTTCTTATAGATTGAAATTTGTGCTATGTTATTCCTATCGCTATTGCCTCGCATTGTGTCTCAGGCTTAACGGTAACGTAACATTTTTGGGAACTTTCCAGCAGGTAACACAGGCGACACCAGTGTCCATTAGTGTGAGAGAGAACGTATCAGTGTGTCTCACTTATACTAGTGAACATTGTGTTACACTGTGTCTTGCCGGAAAGCTCCTATTAATATTATAATTTCTCACTTAACAAGATAACTGCAACGTAATTGCAATGTAGCATGCCTTATATATGAAAAATTATAATATTAATGTTACACATTATACTGTTACTTAATGTTTATATGTATTTTAGATGTATACTCATCTTTGACGCTCACTGTATATTAACACTACATTTGATCCTTCCACAAGACCGTAAATTACGTCACATATTGTACATACGTCACATACCACTGTTAAGCTCCTGTCGCAAGACTACAAAGACCGACTCAACTGTCGATCGCGACTACCGACTCTTATCTGACTTATAGGACTTATCTGACCTATAGAACGTATAGGATTTGGTACGCGTATTAAGTGCTCGGTGTAAACAAAGCCTTTAAAAGCGAGCTTTGAGCAACACGCAACCATAAGGCGGGGGGGGGGGGAGATGCGTGTTGCTCGAAGCTTAATTCTTTCTGACATCACTGGCGCGAACGCTTCGCTTTTACGAGCGAGATGACTACGAGTGCTTTCTATTTAGCAACACAAGTCGACACAAGCATCATTCTGTCTTTTTTCAACAACAGTGAACAACAAAGATAGAATGATACTTGTGTCGACTTGTGTCACTAAATGGAAAGCACCCTACGTTTACACGTCACCCTTAAACGTTTGTATTAATAATAATATCGATGTTATAATTGCGGCGTAAATCGGATCGTATAAACGTAGTCATAAATTGCGCGCTTTCATACAAGTCAACGCGTCAACATTAGCAAGAAGAGGGGCAATGTAATTATATTCTCTCTTCGTCTATATTGGAAATTGTGTGACGAAAAAAAAATATAATTCCAGTGCCCCTTTCCTGCAATAATTTTTATCTACTTTTAATATTGCGTTTGCACTTTTTTTTATCACCCATCTGATGTTTTATATTATACGTGTATATCACACATACTTTTATATTTCAGCAATGTAGCGAGATCGCAGAGACTGGACCGATGAAGACCGATGAAGCCAGTGATATGCGCGGACGAAGCCTCTCCCTGTTAGAATTGTTCCAGGACCTCAATTGTTAAAATCGAAAAATTTTCCTATGCGAAAGACGCTACGCGATTCTTCAGATTGGTATATATTTTTAAATTTAAAAGTATATACCAATCACACACACACACACACACACACACACACACACACACACACACACACAGACACACACACACACACACGCACGCACACGCACAGCACACACACACACACACACGCACAGCACACACACACACACACACACACAACACACACACACAATTTTCGTTCAGCGTCATCTTCGCATACGAAAATTTTTCATAAGAGAATAAGCGTTCATGTTTGTCATTATTACAATTAGCATTACTATACAAATATTTGTATCTATATATTATTTTATCGACCTAATTTGTCTAATTATAAGATATATGTCCTCGCGTTACTCGGAAAAAAAAATATATATATATATGTATAATTTGAGAAGTTTTTGTATTGAGAACGAAAATGGAGCGAGAAAAGTCTTCATAAATTTGTAAATGCGTTTATCTTTCTTTTTGTCGTTCTTGGAGTTAGATAAGTCGCAGAAAAATTTATATGTACATTATAAATACTTATATTAATTTTGTTCCATAAAAAATACTTATATTAATTTTATATTAATATATTGTATATTAGTTTTACTTGTATTCATAAACATATTTATTTCATCAATAAAAATATTTTCTGTTAATAAAAAAATTGTCTACATTAATTTACAGCGAAGTAAACCAAAACAAAATCAAAAATCTACATCTATATGTCTTCCAATTAACGTCTATTTATTATCTATCAAAGCTCCATGAAATATCTATGATTGCTCCATATTACGTCCAAATTGCTCCATGGTATACTCCATATTACGTCCATACAATATCCATGAATACGTCTAATGGATGTCGAATGGATATATGAATTGCGGAACTGTGGATGTCTAGTAGACGTCTATAGGAGGTTTCGTGGACGTCTAATAGAGGTTTTGAATTTCCTTGATGGATGTCTAGTGGACATCCATTAGAGGTTTTTGTTCCGTGTGGGTAGAATTTATTAATTTTATGATTCATTCACCATTGTGTGATTAAGATATTTATTCAGACGATTCATCATTTTAACTATTCCATAAATAAGATTATACAATTTCAAACATATTGATTATAAGATTCACACATTGATCAATAGATTTGCACACATTAATTATATTTCGCATTTATCGTTCATACCGTTAGGGTTGTAAGAGATGGCGACGACTAGTAATTTATAGGTATACGCTTGTTGTGTTGGATTGGTCGCGTTGCTAGTCCCTAGACTAGTTACAACTAGAAGATTCCCTATGCTGGTATTACTAACGATAAATGATAAAGACGTCTAATTCAAAGTTAAATCATTCTCAAAATAGTTAATTATATAGGTTCTTGCAAGAAATGATATTAAAGCGAAAAAATTAGAGTTTCGACCAATGGCAGGACGTCACAGTGCACTCCACCTTTTTTCTGGTTTGCGTCGATTCGCCATGTTTTTGAGTGGAACCAATCAGATGCAAGATCAGTATGATGCTCAGAGACGAATACTGTGGTCACAGTGTCACATATATGTGAATGTCTAATGTGCAATAAATGTACGTTACAAAAATTATATTTTTTTTACATTATTATTTTATTTAAGTTATGAATATAAAATTTTTAACAATAAATAATAATCGGATTATTTATAAATTTGTGCTTAAACTAGATACAATAAAAACTAGGACACTTTAATAGTTGATATGCTAGTGGGCCACCCAAAAACATGGCAGATAATCAGAAATGAAAGATCAAAAGTGCCAACAGAGAGTCGACATACTGGTTCTACTATGATCGTGTCTTGCACCAAGTAATTTGTGTTGACGCGCGCTTGCAATGGTCAGAAGATGGCGAAAAAACCACGTGACTTTAAGAGCCAATCAGAGTTGGCGCATCTCTTATTATAGGTTTTTAGTCCAAACTCAATGTCCGACGAAGTAAAACGGGGAGTACACACTTTTGTATAGGCGCACAAGCGTAAGCATAATAATCTTGATTGGTCTATAAACTTATGCATAAGAAATTCAACCAATCGAATTTCTTATGCATATGCTTATGCGCTTATGCAAAAGTATGTGCTCCCCGCTTTAAGTTCGTTGCGTTCGGTCACTGACGAGGTACTGTTAAAGACTATTGGCTCTGGGTAAATTTTTGTTCCTACCAAGTGCCCGGTGGGCCCGGCATCGGTCGATAATCATGACAATAAATAGCTAATAAGAACATTTTATTTGTTCTACTATATTGTAAATTATAATTATATAGTTTCTATTCAATATAATTAATAATTAAATATATATATATAAGTATTTATATATATAAAATAGGAATTTGATAGTTACCGACATCGTACCGACAGGCCTATTTAGTAGGCGACACAAACTCCCGTAAAGCCGTCGGTCTTTAATAGTACCTCGTCGGTGGTTCGGTGCTGGACGGAGAAAAATGAGTATTTTCCGTAATCATTTTTTTCTTCTTCATAAAAAGTAAAATATTAAAATTATAAAAGATAATTAGTGCAAAATATAAAATTTTTTAAATTTAATGAAAACACGTGTCAATTCTCACCTGTTTGTATACGCGGTTGCGTCCAATTTTAATTGAGACACATTCCGACTTCTTTTAGAAGAGTCGAAGTATGCCTACTTTAATTTCAACACACTCATTAATGGAAAAAGAGGTATGGTAATTTAAAATGAATGTGCCGTCTGTGTCATCTAAAAATAAAGCATATCTCTGTAAAACAGTTAAATTGTGTCTGTTTTTCTTTCAACACTTAAAATGGAAAACGAAGTGTGTCAAATTGAGATGAGTATGTCGCTTGTGTCGCCTAAAAGGAAAACAGCCAACGAGCATCTGTTTTTGACATTTGACAGTTGCGCATCACATTTCTAAACTGTTGCTGAAAGATCACAAGTGTGTCTGATTACTAAATCGATTGAAAATGATTAGAAATAAAAAATAAAAGCAATCATATGCATATATACATATATATACATATATATATATATATATATATATATATATATATATATATATATATATATACATATATATACACACTGATATATTTTCTGCGACGACGAAGTAAAATGCAGTAAAATAATCGTCGCAGATGGCAAGATAATTTAACGAATAAAGTATTAAAGGAGACTCGGAAACGAGTTTATGTGATTTATGAGATTTATTATCTCAAGCTCAAGAAGAATTCACCGAATTTCACTGCAAATTAAAAATTTACAATTTAGAATTATTATTTCTAACGTAACCTTTTGTAGACAAATGTAGATTTGGCAAGTAGAGATTAGATAAGGTTTACACTTGACATTTGAATTAGCACATAGGTCAAAATTAGCTTAAATTATTATTGTGCTTTTGATGATTACAAGAAAAAAAAGTGAACTGAAACGTTTAACTTGATGCGAGGAGAAGAAAGATCTATAACAAAATGAGAACCAGAAAGACCATTGCCATTCTTGGAGTGGGTCTGATCCTTGCTTGTTGCATAATGATCTATCTGATGATGGATCTGACCCTCTTTCCACCTGGACAAGATTCTAAACTTTCCATAAATGATGTAAGTTATAGCAGTGCCTTTTTTAACATAAATTATTATTGTTATACTAAGTTTTATTTTCTCAATAAAATATGCTAGTACTCCCTTCTTTTTAATATAAACTATTATTTATATTATACTAAATTTTATTTTATCAATAAAATGTACTAGCGCTGCCTTCTTTTTAATATATAAATTATTATTTTTACTATACTAAATTTTATTTTATCAATAAATGTGTTAGCATACACTAGATTTGTGACAAATTGTAAAAATTATTTACTCTTTTCCAGAATCAGTGGCTCCACTTTGAAAACAGACTCGCAAAATTGGAAAAGGATTTTGACAAGCATCACAAAGTCATGAATGCTCTACAGGAACAGGCAGCAAAAATCAAACACAATTTTATACCAGTTGTACAAACAGTCAACCGCTCAAATAATTATGATGCCATTGTTCCACACCTGGGAAAGAGCCTCATGTGTAACTTCAATATTCAAAAGGTTCCAGAAGTCGACATACAAATGTTAGAGCTGTACAAACAATTGGAGTTTGATAATACGGATGGTGGGGTTTGGAAGCAGGGCTGGAATATCGTCTATGATGAGAAACAGTGGCACCCTAACAGAAAGCTGAAGGTATTCGTCGTGCCTCATTCGCATAACGACCCTGGATGGCTAAACACTTTCGAAAAGTATTATATATTCCAAACCAGAAGCATATTGAACAATATGGTGACCAAACTGAGCGAAGACAGGAGACGCAAGTTTATTTGGGCAGAAATATCATTTTTTAAGCTCTGGTGGGACGATCAGTCCAAGGTCATCAGAGACGAGGTGCGTCGTCTGATACACGACGGACAATTGGAAATTGTGTCTGGTGGATGGGTCATGCCAGACGAATCCGTATCGCACTGGATCGCTCAGCTGACCCAATTGACCGAGGGTCATCAGTGGCTCAAGTATAATTTGGATTACACCCCGAACTCTGGCTGGGCCATCGATCCCTTCGGCCTCTCTCCCACCATGCCGTATCTCTTGAAGAGTTCGGGCTTGGAGAACCTATTGATACAGAGAGTTCATTATTCGGTGAAGAAGAAACTAGCCAGGGACAAGAATCTGGAGTTTCGCTGGAGGCAATTGTGGGACAGCGATGGCTCCACAGAACTGTTCACTCATGTTATGCCGTTTTACAGTTACGACATTCCTCACACATGCGGACCAGATCCGAAAGTGTGCTGCCAATTCGATTTCTACAGGATGCAGAACTTCGGGCTGAGCTGTCCATGGAAGATTCCACCCAAAACCATCACCAATGCTAATGTGGCAGAGAGGGCTATGCTCTTGTTGGATCAGTATCGCAAGAAAGCGCAGCTTTTCAAGACCGAGGTGGTTTTCGCGCCTTTAGGCGACGACTTCAGGTATACACATGTGGCTGAGTGGGAGGCTCAGTACGATAATTATCAGAAGCTCTTCAACTACCTAAATGAAAATCCGCGCCTGAACGTTCAGATACAATTTGGAACTCTGAACGATTACTTCGAGGCGGTCAGGGAGAAGCGCAACCTGAATGAGTTTCCGACTCTCTCCGGCGATTTCTTCACCTATTCCGACAGGGATGATCATTATTGGAGCGGTTACTATACTTCTAGGTAGAAGAATCTTATATCTTTTAGGGATGATGAATAATATTATAATCTTTGAACAACGACAAACTGCAATTTTTGTTCTCGGATGTGAGATTTTTCTTTTGGAATTAAATTTTCGCCACTAGAGGGCGCTTTCAAATATGTTTAAAATGAAATGTGTTAAAAATTGAAGGTGAGGATGAAAAAAGTCTTTGTATTTTAAAGCGTTTCTTGATGGCGAAAAATTGCATTTATATTTTTATACTTTTAATTCTTAAATTTCTTTCCAATAAAATATTGATAACTTAAATTAGAGAATTATTTTCTATTTTTGAAGCAATAAAATTATCAAACTCAAATTTCAAAATTAAAAACAGATCTAATCTAGCGAAATTATCTCTACGCGGAATTGCTAAATCATCTGTATTTTCAATTCCAAAAGAAAAATGTCCTGCCCAAAAAATTGTGTTTAATTGTGTTATCTTTCAGGCCTTTCCACAAACGATTGGATCGTGTATTACTGGCTTCCTTACGAGGATCAGAAGCATTGGCCGCTATAGCCTGGGCCAAAGGTAACGATCAATTGGTGGAGGGAAACCTCGCGTCCCGTTTGAGCAAGGCCAGAATGTGGCATTCCCTGTTTCAACATCATGACGGAGTTACTGGAACTGCCAGAGACAATGTTGTGATAGATTACGCCCAAAAGATGATAATGGCGTTGAACAACTCTGCTCATGTACTTCAACAATCTATTGCTCATTTGTTGAAAACTCCGCAAGTATCGCCCATAGATACGGAAACTGTGTATTTCTCATTAGACGAAACTAGGTACGAGAATAAATAACAATAGATCTCGTTTTTTGCAGCTGAATTGGCTAGTTCAAAATTTATCTGTGGGTTTGTTCTTTTAGCTAAACTAGTTACTAGTTCAGAGTTTATCTCTTTCTTTCCAATGTGGAGTAAGAAAGAAACTCTGAACTAATGCAACCAGTTCAGCTGAAAAGAATAGACTATTTTATACTCCTCATTGGAAAAAGAAGATAAACTCTGACTGGTGCAGCCAGTTGTTCAGCTGAAAAGAACAGAACCTAATATTTCCTAATATTAGTAACAAGTAAAAGATATATGTACAAATGTATATGAATCTTTTTTTAAGGTCGCATCACACGAGTGCAGGTGAGAAGCACGTTCTTAATCTGGGTGACGATAACCCTTCGAGAAAGATTATCTTGTACAATTCTCTCCCGAGGCAGAGGACGAAGGTGCAAACTTTGATTGTATCAACGCCGTTTGTCAGAGTTACAGATCGAAGAGGTCAGATCGTCAAGTGTCAAGTGTCCCCGGTTTGGATCGGTTCGGCCGCATTGTCTGCGGCCAGATACGAGCTATCGTTTTTAGTCACCGTACCAGGATTTGGTATCACTACTTACATAGTTCACGCGCTGCACAAGACATCGTACACGAAGTAAATGCGATAAAAATGTTTATGATTAAAAAAAGGAAAATACAAGGTATCCAATTTCAAATGAGCCAAATATCTCAAAATATATGAAAGATATGGGAAAAATTGTGACCTTGGATCATTTGAAGGTTATATGAAAGTTACTTAATTTCCTAAATGGAAACCCTTATTTAAATGAGCCAGCCAAATATCTCAGAAAGTATGAAAGCTACGGCAAAAAATTATGTGACCTTGGATAATCATATGAAAGTCACTTAATTTCCTAAATGGAACCTTTATTTTTTAACGCACATTCTTATAGCTTATATCAAAAGCTTTTCAAAACACTATAATAAAACTTTTTTCCGTCAAGTATTTTTCGAGTTATGGGGCAAGATATTTTGTATTTTATGTTAAAATACTATAAATTTCAAGTATTATAATTTGAAGAGCACTGAATGAAAAAATACTTTATTATAGTGTTTTGAAAAGCTCTCAAGACATGCTACAAGAATACGTATTAAAAAAATAGGGGTTTCTATTTAAAAATTGAAAGTGACCTTTATGTGACCTTGAAATGATTATAATATGGATCATTATTCTTTCTGTATTTTCCTTTTTTTATTACCTTATGAATTAATAAGAGATTTAATGCATGCTCTGTTAGAGACTCATCTATTCTTCTATTCTTTTTAAACAGGGAAGTGTATCCAGCTAATGTCACCATCTTCAATACTGACATTACCCTTTTGTCGGTGCCTGGTTTCGGTCCTCTGACGATTCTACCGCACATGCAAGAGTTCTCGATCAGTCAACGACCAGAATTGTCCGCCTCGTTTGGGAAGTCTGGTCTGTTGAAGGCTCTGCGAGTCGGCAACGTTACGTTTCCTATACACTTGGACTTCGTGAAATATGGCACCAGGGGCTCCGGCAAGGACAAAAGTGGCGCCTATTTATTCCTGCCCGACAAACCGGAACCGGATCCGGTGTTTATGGACAGTAGGACGATCGTTCACCTGGTGACCGGACCAATCCTGTCGAGGGTGTTCATAGAATTGGCTCACGTGCGACATACCTGCACGTTGTTTAATTCTCCTGGTAGCGACGGACTCGGATTGCACATATTAAATGAGGTCGACATAACGGAAATGCAAAATTATGAGCTTGCGATGCGTTTCAACACGGATATCGCATCCGGCGATCAATTCTTCACGGATCTAAATGGGCTCAATGTAATTTTTTATGTTATATATTTATTATATGTATATACAGGATGTTCAACAAATATGAAGACTCTTGAATAATTCAGAAAATATGCAAGATAGAAAAATTTTTTAAATGTATGACCTTGAACAGCGTCGTCAGTCACTTTAAATTTTTAAATGAAAACCCCTATTTTTTATTCGTGTAGCTTAGCTAGAGAGCTTTCCAAAACACTATAATAAAATATTTTTTCATTCACTATTCAGAGGTCTCTATATTTTTTGAACACTATATTTGTTAGAGATGTACTATATATATATATATATATATATTTTTTAGATGATCCGACGACAAAGATTCCCTAAGCTTCCCACACAAGGCAATTACTATCCAATGGCAGCAAGTGCATATATAGAAGATAAAAGAGTTAGATTAACAATCTCCACAGCGCAGCCATTAGGTGTAGCCTCTATGGCATCTGGTCAACTTGAGGTAAATCATATAAACTTGATCTTGTCAAAAACTTGACGCATAAACAAAATATATAAATTTAAAAAAAAAAAGTATATAAAATAACATGTCAATTTTGAGAAATTTGCAAAAAAGGGGTATCCTTTTGAGGGATGAAAATAACTAACAACATTGTCATTATATGGCAAAATTCGTGAAAATAGCCCTTTTTCAACATCTAAAAAATTATAAGAATTGATTAGTCTCGTTTCAGTGAATTTTTTCTTGAACAACACTCTTCTATTAAAAAAATGCGCTTTATTTGATGTGTTCACATGAAAAATTTATTAATGTACATATATGCTGTGTGTATGATTTTTATAAATAGATCATGCAAGACAGAAGATTACTCCAGGATGATAATCGAGGATTGGGGCAGGGCATAATGGACAATTTGCTGACAAATCACATGTTCACGTTGACCTTGGAAAGGAAGGAGGGCACTTGTCCCTCTGCTGTACCATCGGTTAATCATCCAGCGGGACTGTTGTCTCTAAGTGGCCACTTAGCTTCGGAAGAGTTGCTGCATCCAATTGTGGCTCTGCATCCGCGAAATTCTCTGTCATTCGACCTGCACGCCCACTTCTCGCCCCTTCGATACGATCTTCCAGTAGACCTAAACATCGTCAGTCTTCGTGTGTTTCCCATTCCCGAAGGCGCCGGCAAGGGCGTTGGTATGGTGCTGCATCAGTCGGCCTTGGACTTTTGCTTCAACAACTCCCATCTGCGACACTTCAACGTCTCGGAATCGGGGGAAATCGACTTGACCAAGTTTCTCAACGACATGGAAGACTGGACTATAAGTAAAGCGCCTCTTACGTTCCACAATGTGGGTCCGTCTCTGAAATCGCCTATTGTAAATTTGTGCCCACATCAAATATTGCCGATTTTGTTTCACAAGACGCAGTCTTAAATCATTAGGAGACAAGGAAAATATAAAAGAAAAACTCAGTCTTGTATCTTCTTCTTATCCACGAAAACATTGTTTGCTCAAGATTATATAATCCAAGTACGCTGAGGTCGGACTTGAGTTGTCTAATTTAAATCTGAAACACAGTATTAAGACTCATTAGAAATTGTTATCGTTTTCGATCGAAGATACGAACGTAGTTGCATACAACAAGTATAATGTTTAAATATGTACATTATTTGCTAGTCAAACTATAGCGATAGGAAAGCTATCCTCTTCGAAATTACACATATAATGTGTATTTCCCAGATGGGGAGATTTCAATTAAAAATCATTTTTAATTGAAATCTTACGTAAAAATAATTTTCTAAAAACGATATCGAAATAGGCTCAAAATTTGCCTAATATCGATTTTTATATTTTTGAAAATGTTCAAAATCCAGAAAATTTTGAAAATGCAAGAAAATCTCGTTTTGCAGTAAATATTATATTATTTTCACAAAGTTTCGTGAATTTTGGTTAATTAAGCTTCATATTCGAGTTTTGCAGGTTCAAAAATAAAATGAACCGATGATTTTCTACGTCTCTTTTCAGGCAAATTTTGACCTTATTTCAACATCGCTTTTTGCCATTGGATTTAATGTTTATTATCACTTATATTTTAGTAAACTTATAATTTAAGTAAACTATATTATTTTGGATAATAATCCTATAATTTAGTAGCATTTCCAAGTTAAGATAAAATAAGTGCAAAGAGAAAATGTTTATTATTACTTATATTTTAGTATTTTTTTTCTTTAGTTTATATAAACTATATTAAAATATTATTCTAGATAATAATCCTATGATTTAGTAGAATTTCTAAGTAAAAATAAAACAGAGCAAAAAGAAGAAATTCAAAACAATACAACTGATAATGGGAGCATTTGATAATTGATAGAATGTCAAATCAAGTATTTTTGAAGAGACAATCTATAAATATCCGGGAACATCGCATTTTGCTACTATAAAATTAGCTGCTCAATTTGTTATTATTTAAATCTCAAATTAATAAATTAACATTTTACATTTTGTATAATAAGAAATATAATTTTTATATTTTATGCATTTAGTTTTTAAAACATTTTATGCTAAAAGAGATATTGTTATAAGATTTATGACTGAATATTTATTTATGAATTAATTAATGTAACATTCTCACGGTACATTTAGCATGTTAAATGTGATTCTTCGAGTTGATCTCTGATATAAAAAGGCTACATTAAGGTTCCTGGCTTCTCATCGATTATATTGGAATTGTGACATCAGAGGCAAGAAAACACACGCTAAAAGTTCTTAGATACAATTTCGAAATAAAAAGATAAAAATGACATAAGAATTTTCGTATACTTTCTCGCTTCTCACGTCACAATCTAACATGCGACGAGGATCCAGGGGTTTTAAGTACGAAATATAGTTCAAACAATTACATTTAATATTAGTTGAGTGAGAATATGACAAAAAATTAGTATAATGAGAAACTATTTCTTTATCAAAAGAAGTACTTTGATACTAGTCAATTATAGATTCTATAAGATAGATTTGGATTCCACGGAAATTTTATACTTGGACTACATTGTACACACATTAGTATGAAAAATATTGCTAACAATTCTAGGATAATAAAAAAAAGAATAAAAATTTTATGTACAGGGTGTCCTGTACGAAATTGCTTAAATTAACTAGCTATCATTTTTTAATGCATGCAGTTATTGAAAAATCAAAAATGTGTTGGAAAGAGGAAAATCTGCAGTTTTTCATAGATATAAATAAAATGTTTGTATACCAGTTTAGTTGAAAAAAGTAATGAAAAAAGTACTAATAATCACATAAAATCATATAAACTAAAAAAAGTAATGAAAAATACTAATAATCACATAAAATCATATAAACTAATGATAAATATTTTCAACAGTGCCGGATTTAAAATAGTTATTAAAAGAATCATCATTAAAAATGACACGTTAGAAATAGTTTTTACGAGTTTTCGTAAAAGAACAGAATTTTGTACAAATCCAAATGGAGCGCACTTCGAAAATATTTATCATTACATATGTTATTATTAGTACTTTTTTTATTACTTTTATTATTACATATGTGATTATTAGCACTTTTTCATTACTTTTTTAAATAAAATAAACTGGTATACAAACATTTTATTTAAAGTGTAAGACAGGCAATAAGAGCCAATCGCGGAAGACAGCGTTATCCCAACAAAACTAAATTTTTTCGTTAGAATTAAATATCTGTGCACAAGGCACCAAATTTTACTTGGTCACGGTCAAGATTTTAAAATATGAAATAATCTCATTTTGAGATTTAATTTCAATAATCCTTTAACCCCTCTACGGAAATAAATAAATAAATGCAAGAGAAAAATATAGATCCGAAAGTCGCTGAATCGGGAATCGAATCCGAGACCTTTCGCTTGCCGGGCGACTGCTCTTCCAACTGAGCTATTCAGATCCTTTCGATTCTATACTTTTCTCTGTTATATATATAATAATGTTGATAAACAAACGCCTTTAAGCCAGCGTGTATAAGTTAAGAGTATAACAAGGCTCTGTAATATAATATAAATTTAAAGTGTAAGACAGGCAATAAGAGCCAATCGCGGCAACATTTATACATTAAACATTTTATTGTTATCCATTAAAAACTGCAAAGAGAATGTTAAAAAAAGTCGATTTCCCGACTATCGATGGAACTAAAATTCGAGTTCCATGGGTATCTATGAACCATATAAGATGTAAAATGTGACCTTTTTTCCTAGAGACCTGGGGAAAGTATTGAAAATCTATCAGAACTCTATTGAAAATAGCGTCATTCGATCGATCTGAAGATAACTATAAAATCGATGACAGGGGTAATTTTTTCATCAAACCAAGTTCTGGTTAAGCACTATATATAGTTTTCCAAATCAATAATGTTTTAATATCGGGATCGCAAAATTCAAGATTGTGGATCCAATATGGTAGATCAGTATTGAGAAAAAACTAGATTCGAGGATATAGTTACTTCCGAATCAAAGATCTGATTCCACATCAAATACATTATGTTTTTTAGTTTTTATTTAAATATTTTTGTTTCATTTTGAATAAAATTCTTTAGTTTTAACATAGAAAATATGAGAACTATTATATTCTCTATGTTAGAACTAAAAATTCTATCAACACTAAAATGTAAGTAATTGTGAGCAATCAATTGAGAAACAAAAATATTTAACAAACAAATAAACAATTAAAAAACATGTATTTGAATGTGGAATCAGATCTTTTATTCGGAAGTAACTACATCCTGGCATCTAGTTCTCTCAATACTGATCCACCATATTGGATTCGCAATTTTGAATTTTGCAAACCCGATATTAAAACATTATTGATCTCAAAAACTATTTGATAATGTGTTAACCAGAACTTGGTTTGATTGAATTCATCCATGTCATCGATTTTAGTTGTCTTCAGATCGATCGAATGACGCTATTTTCAATAGTTTTGACAGATTTTCAATACTTTCCCAGGTCTCTAAGAAAAAAGACCATCATTTTTTATATCTTATATGGTTCATAGATACCTATGGAATCGAATTTTAGGTTCCATTGATAATCGGGAAATCGACCTTTTTTAACATCCTCCTTTCCTCTTTTAAACACAATTTTTTTTTTTTCTCAAAAACTGCATCATTAAAAAATAACAGCTGATTGGTTTCAGCAATTTCTATGAGACCCCCTGCATAATGTCAACAAGAGATGTTATTAAAAATATTGCACACACAGTG